CCTTTTTAATGCCTTGAAGGGGATAACGTTATGAGCTAGTTAAACTATCTATAAATACGGCTAATCAATTTTTATTTAACCTGAAACATAAAGGCGTAAATAAAGGCTTAAATAAATCCTATTAAAACCAAAACAATTATAAGAGTTAAATTTAATTTAAGTATTTTGCCTAAGAGTTTTTAACAAATATTTATAACTGAGTCATTGGTTTGAATTCGCATGGTACTTACTCAATTTTACCGTGTAAATAAGTAAATAATTGTCTGATATACCTTCGTGTATTATAAATTTTTATGATCTATCACGTTTGAGACTGACTAACTTCGATGACTCCATAAATCTTATTTTGTTAAAAAAGTTGGCACTCTGTGCACGGCATGTTCTGTATCAATTTCACTATTGATAGATTTGCAATTAAATATTTAGTATTACAGATATTAAGTAATACGTATTTAAATTCAAGCGTTTGCTTCTAATTAACCATTTGAAACACTTTCCTCTACAAACCGCAGTAAATAGTTAATTAATACATCTGAATATTTCTATTAATACTCGTATCCGATGTTCCTGACACGTGTTAATATGGAGCAATTTGTCAGCGGCTTCGAAAGCCGAGATCTGGGCTCAGGGGAAACATTTGACAGTGTCACATATTTTTTTGTACCGCCCCAGATAAAAGGAGCGATGGAGACGTCGGCTTTTATTAATGAATTGTTCCACACCGTGTATCATTTTTGTCTCTGTTTTTTTTATTAATGCGTCTATGCCTCGTAACATAACATCGACTTTACCCGATCCCCCAATAAGTTAGTTTTAAATAAGTGATTTGTACTGCGGGTGGTGATTTTTGCCAGAGAAGCGTTAAATATTGATTTCAGCTACACTTCATCGATCTAATAAGCCATGATACGTGGCTGACGTGTTCCGGTAGGTAGAAATGTCAGAAAGCGATTACTGCAAACAATGTATCCGTATAGCATGCAAAATCACAGTCGACGCCTAAATCAACACTGTCTCAATTTCAAATGAGTCTTTAATGGACACTTAAACGATAGACAGTAGACACAAACAAAAAATTATAGGTGAAATACGAACATTATAATAATATAAACATTAAACTAAAAATGCAGTAAAATAGAAAAAAAAAACAGTATTAAAAAGAATAAAAAAATATGTGACAATAAAATATAAATATATGTTTTTTTTTATATAAAATATCGCATATTAATTTATAACATGATTATTGGCAGCTATGTACAGATTTATTGTGACTCTGAATTTAGATATATTGACACTTATAACATGACAGCACCACAGTTACTGACAGAATGTGACGCTCGACGGCCTAATGTCAAATTTTTCGCGCTTTGCCGCCCATTTGAGCAGTCGGGCGTTGACACCTCACACGGTGCGCATTCCGCACCTACCGCGCTCGTCATTACTATGAAAAATCACCGCCGGGGAATGTTGATAGAGCTGTGAACGCGCCACATCCAGCCAGCACTTTGAAGGGCTTGAGGTATTTCAGGGAAACGCGACTTAATTAACACGTTGTCCCGATCCGGCGGAAGATGAAGGGAGGCTGGGGCATGGTCGGTGCCGATTTGATTTATTCCCCCGCTCATCGACGTCGCGCCTTCGGCTAATGAGTGTCTAACAAAGTGGACGGGTTAAACGTCTCACTTCAGAAGGACTTCTGTGACCGCCGCGGCCAATTTAACTCCCCTGACTGACTGTCCGTTTATTTTAACGAAACTGAAAATATTTTCGTTCCTTTCTTCCTGCTGCTTTTCTGCTTAGTAATCTTAATACTATTATTAAGATTACAAAGCAAATATCTACATATGGTGCATAAGTTTATATGACTAGTTGCTTAGATGACTCCGTGGCGCAGTTGCCAAGGTATTTGCTTCGGCATCAGGCTTCGTGGCTTCGATCCCCACGCGAGAAAACTATTTGTGTGACCCACAGATAGCTGTTTCGCATGTGGGTGCTTGTCCACGTTAACATAAGTTAACATAACATAAGTTACGGTGGTAGGGCCACGCAGCAGCCTCGGCTGTTGCACGAATGGGCAGGCCCGTCCGGGTAAGTACCACGACCTCACAGAAGACCGGCGTAAAGTGGAAGTATGACAAATACTTTCGCGTTTCGTCTGGTGAGTGAGGTAGCCGGAGCTCAATTTTCAAAAGGTTGTCAACGCATCTGTAACCCTCGAGTGTAGCAGACGTCCATGGGCAGCGGTATTCACTTAACATCAGGTGAACCGTCTGCTCGTTTGACAACTTTTCGCATAAAAAAAAAAAAAAAGTTAAATTTCACGTGGACACATGATAATGTTATCCGAAAGTAAGGGCAACGTTTTAAAAAAAAAAGGATCAAAAGAATAAGTTAAACTTTCACATCTCCTTTAGATCTTTCCATAGCTTGCTGTGCACAAACTGGCCCGCTCATAATTTTGCGTTTCGCGTCATGAGTGAGGTAACCCGACCCCTCCATTTAGACATTTCAATCCTGCAAAGCATCTGCACGCTACAGGTATCGAAGATTTATTTATATCAATAATAGCATGGTAGCTTGGCACCTTACTAGATAAAGTGAAATATTTGATGTAAATAAATATTCACTATGCGATATTACGTATGTTACGTTCACTTTTCCCTGTCTCTTCTATACTTTGTAAATCATGTGTTAAAATGACACTCATGACACGGCTAGTAGGTCTTTTAACAGGTGTTCCGCGTTTGAAGTTTCTAGAGATATTATAAGCGTAGAATGATGCTATTTATTAAATAATAATTAACTAACAGTAACAGATTATTAAGTGACACGATCTCATTTTATTTGAAAATATCTTGATGTATATGAAAGTTATTTAGCAGCTCCAAGCTCAGAGTACTGACCAACGTCTTGTTTGATAAAGGTTTCAGCCGAAATTGGATAGTTATATTATTTTTATTATCATAGTTAATTGTTCACCTCGTTTGGATCAAATCGCAAGATGTTGGTGCTGAATTTGGTTTGTCTTCTTCTACCAATTCTATAACATTGTCTGTCTAGTTTCTGCTTGCACTAAATTGAGAGTTGTATAAGTAGCAATAATATTCTGTGCCAAATAGTATTGTTACCTTCAATGGTATTCCGTCTACTATCAACTATCGCGTTCACGTCACCCCGTCCCCGACGACACCTCCGAAGACGCTCGAGACGTCAAGAGACGACGTAATTAAGAGGATTTAGTCAAGGGTCCGACAATGTGGGTGGCGGTTCGTTTCCCCGTTTGGGCCCAATTAGTGCCGGCTTGGGCAACGGACGCCGACAAGGGATTACCGATATGCGCAGCGATAGCAGCGCGTATGGCGCAAGCTGGAGCGATTTGCACAGAAATGTTATTAGAACAGAATAAAGATTATATAGTTGCACCATTTGTTATAGTCATTTATTAGACAGAAACTGGTAAATTTTATTTTTGATTATTAACTATTTTATCTACCTTTGACTATACAAGTTACCATGTACACATTTGGAAATTATTAATACTTTATGTATTGTGATTTGGCATTAAATATAGAGATAATTAATTAAAAAGGTAGCTTCATCAATTAATATTGATGAAATAAAATTTTACTAAACGACAAAATATATCGATAATCACAGAATATTACTTTAGGGTCGTGTCTAGACCGCGTACGAGTGCAAAGACCACACGTAACTTATAACTTGTACCATACACCATGTCTAAGGACACTTTACAATTTGGCCAACATCTCTTTTGACGACCACTCGTGAGTGAAAATGGACACTGCTCTAAACGAGCCGTCTGAAAGCCACACGCCGCCTATTTGGACCTATCCCAGCGAAATAAACGCTCAAATGAATCTTGTTTGTTGTTATCCAAAGCTTCGTTTCTTTTTCATCTCCCCATGCTAAAAGATATCGAGTGTTTTCTATTAAGTATCACATTACCGATTCAGTTGCTTTACATCTTTATCTTCGACACGCAGTCGCCTCGCTCGGCCCTTCTAACGTTTTTCCATTTTTACGATTTGTAACAGACTTTAATCTAGTAGATATACCTATTACCTGAAGTTAAATATGTAACACAAACGATAATTGTGTTGCGAAGTCCCTATGAAACCAGAATGAAATATTCTGAAAATACAAATAAATTTTTCAAAAGAAGATAGATTGTATGTCTCGTTTCTATATCGGAATCATGTTGATAAACATGAATTGAATCGGCATAACGTTTGCTCAAGAATGCCGCTAATAGCTTCTCGAAATCAACTCTCGCGATTGCCTCACCTGAGCCCTTTACTAAGCCCTTTCCTCCCTCCGGGAGGGATTCATAACAATTACTTCACAATCGCTTCCAGGATCCCCAACCCAAGGGGGCTGTAAACGTCTTATTTCACGCCCTTGCAAATAATCAACACGACTCTACGCTGAGGGTTCTCGTATCTATTATATTAATTTTATTGAGGGAAGTTATCCAAAACGTGAATTATTGAGGCTCCTTGTTATGGAGACCGTTAACGGATTAATAATATGAGATAACGCAAAAATGCATGTGGCTCGAGGGAGTCCATATTCAGGTTTATTAGAGGTCGCATAAGGCGACAAGTGTGCAAAATGCAGTTCATTATTCCACATATAATACAATGTATTTTATTTACATAAATTACAGTCGAGCGAAACCATTAATTTTCAGACTCTGGTTTTACAATACATATCGCAATAAATGTAAATTTCGCATGGCATTGCCTCTTTGAACCGTTAAAACCGAAGTTCTAGTACCCTTGAGCACAACTTCATCGCTTCATTTCTTTGCATCTCATAGCAAGACTGTTAAAACGTTCAACAATCCGGGACCGCTGAGGTCGACGGGACAAGTTCGTGCCCACTTAAATATTTTTTCGATACGCGCACTAATCACTTCCATCCACACATGTCCCACTCGGCGGGCCATCGCTTAGCGGCCGTAAAACACGCAGAAATTAGGCGGCCGCTGTCACAACCAATGCGAGCCACGTGTGCGCGTCTGTCTGCACGTGGTAACGCTCGCTAAGCGACCGAGCGGAACCCTTTGTGGCGTGGCTCCTTCCCTCGGTTCGGGTGTTCCACACACAAAGTCCCCGGCGGTACGGATAACCGGCCGATACGGTGATTTTCCTCGCGTTGTTGCAATATTTAATCCATTCGACGTCACTATTAAGGTTTATTCGCGCCCGGTTTCTGAAACACTGATAACCGTAGAAGTTAACCAATCAGCCGTCAAATGGCTTTTCTAATGTCATTTGAGTTGCCAAAAGGATGGTTCTACTCTTTGAATTGATAATTCTGATCATTAAGAAGACCATTCTGATCGAATAACATTTGAAAAGCCATTTGACAGCTGATTAGTTAACTTCTACGATGACTAGTGTTTCAGGAACCGGGCGTCAGTGTTTCGTGTAGAGCGTAAATAATGTTAATTTAACAACGTACAGAAAATGCTTAAGTTTTAGGACAATTTGTTTGAAAAATAGTACGAAAACTTTTTCGGCGTAGTTTATTAATGGGCGCGAATCACGAAGACGAATTTGATTACGACAGCGGCGAAAAACTTTTCGTAATTTTTTCTACACATTTTAATGTTTCATTTTAAGTGCAGAAATTAGCACTTTAAAAATTAAAAAAAAAAAAGATTTTAAGGCGACCAATGCTGTGTAAATAAAAATAATGCTTGCGCCTTTATGTATGCCAGTCTCGCGGCTGATCCGCGCGTGTGGATAGGGCTTAATTAGGCCTTCCTTAAGCCCTAACCAAAGACTCGAAGCCGAGCCGCCAATAGGCTTAAGACGTATTTGCGAAGCCTGTCGGATCGATGAGTCACTGGCCGCTGTAATACATTGGATAATTTTATATGCCCGCACGAAGCCGTCACGCTACTAAATCAAAAAATAGCTCGCATCAATTTCACTAGGCTCTGCCGTCCCTTGCTTAGTTATAAATTTGCAATCCATTTCATTAAAGGAAATCACAGTGGAATATGTAATATTTTATAACCGTGTGACAATGCATACGAAATCGAAATATTATATACTTTTTAATCGGACCCAAAGCGCCCGGTGGTACTCGATCTGTCGTCGTTCGCATAATTGGTATTGGGTTCGTGGGTTGGTGACCAGTTTGATATTAGGCAATCGGAAAAAATTGTTTTATTTTAATATAAGAGCACTGGATGGTTGTTGCAACAAGTGCATTTCGCGCCAATGTCTTTATCTCTTCCCGCCCGCTAAATGCAGAGACTCGCACCCACAGAAGGCATTTCACGTGTCAGGAACCTCCCCCACCAACTAGCGATGGGCACAGGTGCGGGAAACGCAAACAGCGGCCCGACAATGGACGCCGTATTTGAAATCGAAACGTTGTGAAAGGCGACCGGCGTCGGCCGGGCGGCACTTACGCGAGAACGCCCAATTATTCGCCGAACGTCGAGGCTTATTAGTGCGGATGACGCGCGGTTCCTCGCGGGGGCAGAGAGCACGCGGCAGACACGTAGTTAGGCGGGAAACGGCCCTCTGCATCGCTACTCACTGGCCATTTGCTAGTGCCTTGCCATGGGCCTTCAAAAAGGAAATCCGCATAGCTCATAGCTCATAGCCGACATACTTAAAGCTAGCTTCGCCATTGTGGGATATGTCAAGAGGGACAAACATGATTTTATGGAGAAAAGCGGCAAACGAGCAGGGGGCTCACGTGATGGTAAATGCTTACCGCCGCCCAGGAACACCTGCGACAACCGAGGACTCACAAATGCGTTGCCGGCATTTTAACGAAGAGTATGCTCTTCTTGAAGAAGAAAGTTGATTGGCCTCGTTTTTATGACGTTTGCGGAATAAACAACTTAAATGTCTTATCTTTTTAATTCATTCATACATTATTATAATATTTATTTCGGGCCTTGCGGTTTATTTGATGCTTACTTTTACTAAACTTAAGCAATTATTTACGAAGGAGGCTTTGAGTTAGGTATAAACTGAGTGCTGTCGCCTCTGCAAGGATCCATGGCATTCGCGCCTCACTATCGTTGCAACCCGTCATTACCCGTACGGTGGACGCCGCGCCGCGCCCCGCCGCTGCCTTGTAATAAACATATCAACTTCACACGGCCCCTTCCGCACAATGCACGCCAAAACAATGGCTTTTTGTGCGCTAATAAGCACTAAATTATCGTGCCGCTGCCGTTTGATGGCCTCGCTTCGGGAACTGCCAACCCGCTTTGCCACGCTCCCGCCTTTTTTCATTGACGGCGCCTTTCTCGATAGGCCGTCGGAGCGGGTCACGTCAGTGTTCGTGAAAATTACAGATTCAATTGAAACACAAGACAGTGATTATAAGTTTAAAACTTATTATCAAAGTTTATTTCGATGTGCACAGATTACTATAAGCATAAGGGACTAACAATTTGGTGAATAGATCTTTTAAATTAATGTACAATAAGACTTATCCCAGATAGTTATATTGGAAAATTTATAATTATAATATCTAACTTACTTACGACTGTTTTAAGAATAGTCAATTTCGGTCAATCCCAAAAATGTCGTACCGTTATTAATAACATGTTACAGAACTTAAATTTATCTAAAAAGTATTTTTGTTCATTTCGCTATATCAGATCGAATGTGAGATATTTTAACTGTCGAATATTTTGGTTGATAACGAATCAATTATTAGTAAAAAATAAACCTGAGATACCTAATTAAACAAACCGGTTACGATAAACGTAAAATCTTTCTTGATTATTTAATTATTTTCATGGGCGCCAACCCACGTTTCGCAATTATCCATAAGTGCCAATACATCGAAGGTATTAATTTGTTTCAAATAAATACTTTTCGTGGCAACTCTTGGAGATTGAATTGATGTAATATTTTTAAGTGAGGATATAAATTAGAAACTCTCACTGTCATTCATCCAAACTAAAGGTCAAAGACTGAGTAATGTTAATAACAAACCTTCTTTTGTCTGATGTTTAGAAGAAATCTTTTGATTTAAAAGTCAATAACTTCTAATTCCTTTGGTACCATGGCCAATTTTATATCTGATGTGATTATAAAACATTTTATAAAATGTAGTTGTTTTCTTATAAACTTTCAATATACTTAATTATCCTATAGCTTAATTAGACAATATGAGAAAGTTTGTTGACGGCGTGCGCTAGTTATTAATAGTCATAAGATTAGATAGACTGGATCGTTTCGTCTCTTGTCCATAATTCCTCTAGACTATCGGTTTCCATTTAAGGATGAAAGCCAAAGTCAAAGGATTTGCGAAAGAAAGTGAAAACAGAACTGACAAAGGCAACAAAGGGGCATCCATTACGATGGAATAATAGACAACAATGTGGTAAACAAATATGTGGGACTCGGCGGACCACCCGCGCGACGCTAATTATCTTAAAGACAGATGTTCCGACGAGAGTGAGTCCTGACCTGAAAAAACACCGTCGCGCACATCAAAACTAAGCGCCGACGGATTATGCCGAACTGAAGGCGGCGCCTCTGCAAGCGATTGTGGTCCCTGAGACACAAGGGACAGGCCCCAAAACTGCGATCGTCTTGACTAATAGCGTGTACGGAGATCTGCGCTCGCAAATTCTAGATGGAGCTTTAGAATTCGCCGACTTAAGAGCTAGAATCGACTGTCTATCCGAAGTGGAGGTGCAGAGTCGGATGGCGGATCGTAAAGCTGTCAATGGACAATACGTCACTGAGGACAAAACGACTGATCCGAGTTATTTATTCATGGCGGATTATCCCCGTCTGGCGTATTTATTTTATTTAGTGCCGTAAAAATGGCATCGTCCGCAAACAAGGCATAGGGCCGTGATCACTTTGTGCCCTGGATAGTAGACGCGTTCACGCACGATCTGGCTACGGCAATGGGGGCATTGTAGCGGCTGCACTGTGCGCCTTCGGTTCCCTCGCGTCCAATGGATATTACTGTAAATAAGCACTCGAGATTACGGACCACCTTGAAAAGTAAGCGATAATCAGGATCCTCGGTTTTGTTAGCAGCCATTGAGCTGAACGTCGAGTCTCGCGATTTGCGTTTTGAGTTGAGCAAAAGCATTTCGTCCCTTAGTGTCTCTTCGTGTTGACATTGCCTTTGGAAACTATGATTATGTTATTGTTGTTTCTATGTGGGGCTCGGTCGAATATGATCGGTTACATTAATTAAGTCTATTACATACTGTATGCTGACAAATTGCTATACAGACGTTTCCTTTAAAATTGTCTTTAGCGCCACTAAGGGGACATAAACTTAGGTATAAAACGGGAATAAAAGGCAACCTAGCGTCCCAAAGTCCTATAACTTTTCCTAGAGATGATGATTTACTTAAACAGTTTAAAACCTATGTTAGGACAAAGATGTCAATATTGGAAATAACAAAAACTAGCTCAACATACAGCGATGTAGTACGTCCAGCCCTAATTTACATAATCATATTAAATAATATTAAGTGCATTTAGAATTAAATTTCATCCAAAGATCACTTTTCTTAGATTTCTAGATTGTATATCTTAATACGGCATGGGTTTTCGGTGTCAAAAGGTTTGATATAAATAACCAATTATATCAGAATTTTTGTTTAGGTGTAGGTACTTACTGTGATTGACTTTAAAGCCATCGATATTGATCTTCACAGTGGACGCGCTGGTGATTCGATTAAGCCCGGTTTATTAATAGGCGATTCAAAGCGGTCGAAGCGTGGTCGGGAAGGCCGGCCGATCAAAGAGCGCCCGGCGGTTAAACGACGCGGTTAACGCGATGTCCTTCCATCTTCGCAAGCGCTGCTTATCCCAGTTAACGTTGCGGGTGCGATGCTACTAGTAGTTACTAATATTAGATTAATGAAAAGGAATCTTATCACTAAAGCAGGAAGTTTTTCTGTGTAAGTGCCACGCTGGGGCTTCGGCTGTTGCAAAAATGAGGCTCGAAGTGAAAGTGTTATATTTTCACGTGTATTCTGGCGAGTGAGGTAACAACTTTTTTAATGTTTGCTTCGCATCAGGCATCCGTCAGGTGACGAAGATATCCTTGGACGGCGACTATTACTAACATCATAACATAAGATAAACTATCTCCGATATCTGGAGAGCTATCGCGGTTCGACTTATAATAAGTAAATAACTAAATAAATATTACTGGGACATATTTAAGCGAAGCTTGTACTATGGATACTAGGTAATTGATAAACGTACTTAAACATTATGTCAAAGTAAAAGAAAATCTTGTTGTTGTTCGAGAAAATACATGTGTACATTCTGATCTAACTATTGTAATCGTGTTATAATATGAACGTATCCAAATACTCTACGTATAGCCGTCTTAATTCTTGTTACTACAGCGAACGTATATATCGGCATGTTTAGGGGTCGCTTTGTAAAACCGTTCTTTACGGGTTTTATCGTGATTGAAATTAAGCAATAGGAATGTGTTACTTTGTTGAGCGCCGCATGGGATCGCGTCCACTGGAATGAATTCATCGGAGGAACTTCACCATTACGAACCGTCTCCAATCAACTACCGTATTACACTGCAGCTGATAATCCATAACTTAGGTCTCCTGTGTTAGAGCGGCTCGTTTCATCTTCGCATAAGTATTCATTGGCGATGAGGAACTCGAAAACGGCTCTTTCGGTTACGCTTTAATCACAGAATTTATAGTTCTGTCCAAAGGATTTACATAGACTAGGATTATATCAGAAACAGCAGGCAGACCATAAGAAGATGTTGTACATAAAAGTTGGATGAGAACGTAAATTTTATTAGTATTTAAAATGCATTTTGTGTGTATTTTATACAAGCTTCCTCGATCTAAATACGCGAGCTTGTGTTTTAAATTAACGTGCCAGCCGCTAAAGATGACGGTCATTTACTTATTAAATAACGTTCAGATATGTTATACTAATGTGAATTCGTTTTAAAACGGCGTAGAGTTCAATGAACACGTTACATCGAAGCTTTTCGTTAACAGACGGACAAATAAAAGTCGACAATAAATGTTAATAATAAAATTATCGCGTCGCCAGCGCGTTTACATCGCTAATGTGTGGATTGCTTTAATAGTTACGTACAAAAAGACAATTAACGACGCTTTTTTAAACCTTACGGCTATCTGTCATGAGGTTTAAAATAGCGTGGCGCGTGTACTGCTCAGGGATTTCGAGGATTCATACTCCTGTATAGACTCGGGGGAGCGTAAGGAATTAGTTCGCATTGATACCGCGTTGTTCTCTCATGGGTGTGGCGGATGTCATCCTCCCCTCATTTGAATCGCCATCACGCGTTTATCTACATAATGACGTCAAATAGTGCACTTTTTGTACGACACTTAGAGGCGACGCGGTAGGGAGGGCATTGCAGTATAACCGAATAGCTATAGGAGATAATCGGCACTGTGTTTTAAAACGGTGGAAATGTAAGTTGGTGGTTTTTGAAACGCTACACACAAAAGTTGGAAAAACTCGCCCAGGCACTTTACCAACTAAGCTAAGCGACCACCTCACGGAAACTTTTGGCATCTATCTATTTATTTCTATTTTGTCTTTCGACGAAAGTTTTTTTTTTAAATTGTTTAATGTTTTACACGCCACATAGTAGCACGAAGTTTACTAAGCACCTTGTTTATCAATGTAAATTAAAAAATAATTTAAAAAAATCATGCGTGTAATTTTAAAGGTACCCCTTTGGTGAGAGAAGTCAAATAGGAAACGAGTTTTCTATTATTCGCAACATCAAAAGTTTTTTTTTGCGCTGGATGAGCCACTGTTTGCCTTAGGAGCTTTTCCAGTTCCGACGGGCTTGAGGTGGCCTGGCGCACGGAGCGCCTAGCCTGAACCTCGGCACAAAAGTCTATCTTTAAATGTAACGGGGCTTTGTTTATCAGCAAACACAATTCGCTCTACATTCGGCGCGAGCTGGTGGCCTGGTGTACCGTTTTACATTGGGGTGAGAGCACAATACGGCTAATTGCGGTGGCACCAGTCATAGGCACCAGCGAGAGCGGTTCCCTATTTCTAAACAGAAGCCGCGAATAACGGTACTAAAGAACATTACGTTACCTAAAGACATATTTTATATTTATTTTTATATTATATTGTTATATTTAATCAGGTGAATTCATATTTATAAAATAGTTACTTTCCAAAACATTACGCAGTATATTATTATACCATTCGTTTCTCCTGCTAAGTAAATTTCTATGAAAGCGGATTTAACAGTGAAAAATAAATCTACTTCTTAAAATAAATCAACGGAATGTTCATAAAAGGGACATCGATACTTTTATCTGTCTTCAATCGCCGTTTCCAAACGCTTCCGCTCATGACCCGGGCCTTACAGTTCCGCTTCCGCCGATCACTCGGGCTTCATTAGCGCGAGGTCTGCTCCCGCGCCGATAAAATAAAACATTTATAAATATTTGTCGGCAATATTCCCGACGGGGAAGGCCGACATCTCTGTTAACACGCTTTACACGGAGCTTGACGGGTGTAGGGTGGGCGACAAGCGGCCGCGGGGACCCCCGACGCCGTTCATGCCGTTATGATCTCTATCTCATGAACGTTATGTACTAATGTCGAGTGCAGTAAAGTGTAACATGACGGTGTTGCAGTGATTTAGTGCTCGGTGAAGATGTTACGTTTTGGGTCGTTTTGAAAATTAAATAAGCGCATTCTGCGGCGTGGTTCCATAGCTATGTTGCCGCTGAGAAATTTATTACGGGATATCTATTACCACTGGTAGCTGCATCCACTTAATTATTTTTACTTTATATTAAATAATTTTATTCCTGCTTTTAAGTTTGGCTAACAATAATTTTATTTTTATCCATAATATTTATTTTATATATGCAATATATATCTATATCTTTATTTTTATTTTTATTTATAAACCCAACCAGACGAGAAAACAAATGAATATCCCCCCAATAATTTTAGAGACATCCGGTTTCAATCGATATCTTTCTTTATAAACGACTTCAAAAGGAGGAGTTTCTATGTTCGACTGTATGTATTTTTTATGTATTGTTCGCAGATTTCTCCCCCATTCGTGGACTGATTCTCATAATTATTTTTTTTTATTTGAAAGTGTTTATTCCTTAGGTGGCCTTATATGCAACTAATTAGTACTGATGATGGATTCCCAGGGAAATCGCGGGCAACCCTCAAATGTTATGGGCAATAACAATGTTTTTCATATATTTTCTAAAGCTATTGAGACATTTGCGTTTCGTCATCATTAAATTTTGTATTTTTTCTATTCAAAACACAGTACTTTTCTGAGGACAGCTGAAGAATTTATTTGTTTCAAAAGAGAAACATAAACAATGTTTGTTTATTTATTTCAAATATGTACAAAGAAACTTACCGTCTAATATACATGTAAAATGCATACGTTATACGCGCATTGGACATAAACAAAGGCCAATAAACAAATGAGGTCCCGAAATATGACCCCAGGCCATACCGACCCCTCGAATGTAACCGAAAATATTGAGCGTTCATCACAGTACCCACCATTGTAATTGAAATTGTAATAACACGGGAGTTATTTTTAACCCGGCGTGAGACTTGTTTACATAAATAAAGTTAACTTACCTCGTCAAGCGTTCGTTAACAGTAATCTTTAAGTGAAACTCCGAGCAAATCTTGCCTTGGCTACCGTGTGTCGAAAATTACTAAATTCAAACGATTGCTGTTATTTTTACCGTTATTATATATTGCTTCAACTTGTAGTTAATATTGCATGTTGAGAAGTGGTGATATTTTTAACAATTTAGTTT